GATTATTTTTCAAGATAATGAAGTCACTTACCTAAAATATTTGAGAGGGAGCTTCCGATAAAAACTCGGCTAGAGAGGAGCTCACAGTGTTTCGACTAGAGAGAGAAAGATCTCAAAATTTTCTAAGGTGGGAGTCCTCGCCTCTCGTATTTAAACTCTTATGATGCCTTATTATAATATTTTAGTAAGTTACACCTCATACACGAGGTGTAACGTTTATATTAAACGTAAAAGCTTTAAGTCCCACGCAACCAAGGGACGTGCGTGTTAAAGGGAAGGTAAAAGGTTAACAGAAGTGGTGATGGTTCCTAAGGACCATCATACTTATATGGACCATCACTTATAGAAGTTTATTTTCTCTCTTTTTTTTTTTTTTTTCGAAAGTTTAGGATTATTACAGCCCCTTAAAGAGAGAGAGGGTAGAAATAGAGAAGAGAAAGAGGTGTGTTGAGAATGGGAGAAGAAGCCCCTATATATAGGATTTCTTAGAGGAGATAGGGTTTCATAAAAATAACCATCACAAAATTTGATCATGATAATTTGATCTTGGAGAGCTGTGGGGTGAGTGATCTGAGCCATCAATTCTTTAAATCAGCCATCATGATAAAAAAGAATAGGCTAGAACCTTTTCTTTTAGTTCGTAGACCCTTATCCCATCAAATAAAATACATACTCAAATATTAGATACATTATATCTAATAAAAAACTCTCTTCTTATTTATATCACTTCAGTCTTTCAAAATATTACCTTATTTTCAAAAACAAATCTCCCAACCTTTTAAAACATATTACCACAACCCTTAATATGTAGAACTCCTCAAAGTGGGGCGTGGCCCCTCATGCCCCCAATAAAAGTGGCATGCCAATTTGCTCCCAAAAAATTTGGTGTTGCCCAAATTCCATAAAGTGGGGAGTGGTCCTCATGGCCCCACTAAAAGTAGCGTGCCACTTAGGGCCACCTAGTGGACTCCCCCATGCAAAACTCAATGGGGTCCAATGGGCCTCCATGAGTCCACACAATAATTTTATAAGAGAAATAAATATTTTAGAAAAATGTGAAATAATGATTTTATTTCTCCTTGAGTATTTTAATTAAGTTTAATAAATATAATTTACAATAATAAAATATTCAGAGTCTTAAAAAATTTATTCTAAAATTAATCCATATTTAAGAAAATAAATTTGATGGGAATATGATCCTTTTAAGTTTAGGATTTAATAATTCTAAAGCACTCTCCATTTTCTACTGTGGACTATAGTCCACACTTGCTTCCAAAGTTAGTAAATAGACAATGAAACATAATCATAGTGTATGGATTATAGGTTCTTCCCTAGATACGAGTTTTAAGGTCATGCAGACTTGATGCAACTACATCTCTATGGTGCATACGAGTAATCTCTCACACATATGTATGCATCATCCTCAATTATGAACTATTTTCCCAATACAGCCATCATATGGACTTGCCATATGACAGATAAGTGATGAGGTTTTGGCCATCGTCTCTAAAGACCAACCATCAGATACAAGAGTCACACAGTCCATTGACTCACTCATTTGGGTAACTCCGACCTCATCAAGGGATAACCCATCAACCATCATCGGTTTTTATTTCATGCCTAAGTATCAAGGGTTTTCTAACTCGGCTGACCTAACACGTGGTTTTTATTTCATGCCTAAGTATCAAGGGTTTTCTAACTCGGCTGACCTAACACGTGGAACGTAGTCTGAGTTATGACAAATAACATTTGCATCTCATGGTCCACACAGGACCACACTTCCATTTAATTTATGTTCCACTAAAATATTCAATTTGTAAGCTCTCATAAGGCTTTTAATGCCACATAAACCCAACAAAGCTTATGAAAACATTATTCATGTATTACAATAGAATGCAGGTGGGAGATAGTGTGATGACCAAAATTTTAGACATGTAAATGATTGACCAAGCCACCTTAATATTCAACTCTCCAATTCGGATCAAAGAGTAATAAAAAAAGGTAGGCTATTCAAAGAGATAGAAAGTGAGGAGGCATTAAATATGGTTTGAGACATAAAAACTCAAATAGATGAGGGTGGACCCAATCATGGAGCAGTAGAATATCGAACTACTCAAGATAATATATAGCTCGTTTACTACCCAAATAGAAGGAATAAAATTATATGGAAATTCACACCAGAGCGGGGTTTTTGGGCCAAATCTTTATATGATATAATAAGTAAAGATCGCCATAAGAAAGTGTGCTTCTTTAAAGTTCCACATAAAATTAAAGCCTTCTTATGGTTTAGGGAGAGACAAATCCTTGTAGATTGAGGAGTTAAGGAGAAGATGGATGATGCTAACAATTGTTCTTTATGTATAGGTGACACATATAAAAATAATTACTTATTCATTCACTGCCCATTCAATTACATCATATGGGAATGACTCTTGAGCAAGGTATAATGGGACTAGGTTATGCCATGAACAAGGACTCAACTATTAGCACATGCAAGTTCCCTGCATTTCACAAAGCATTGGATCATCTTCTGGAAGATTGTAGTGGGTGAAGTGATATGACAACTATGGAAGGAATAAACAATAGAATTATCAAAGGCAATGCTTGAGATCTCTCACAGATAAAACAAGTGATATATAGACTAATAATACATTGGGCATTGTCTACCTCAGAGTTTAAGGATGTTTGGAAAGAAAATTATACTACTGATCTTAGATATCTTCTTTTCTTTAAGCAACAAAAGTTGAGAAAATCACGTCAATGGCTCCCCCCTCCTAAACCATGGGTTAAATTGAATTTTGATGGAAGTGTGAGGAGAACTGGGAGGTGGCGGGGTTTGGATATTATTTAGGAATACTAGGGGAGATACTTTCAGGACTTACCAAGGACAATTGGGTGCTTGTGGGGCTAAAGATGCATAATTGATGGCTATGAAATTTGGGGTCCTCAAGCTAGAACAACAACATAACAAAGTGGTCATTGAGCAAGATTCAATTAATATAATAAACGGAATTTATACTATGAGATCATTTATCTTTCTTACAAGGAGGTCACAATTGTTAGTAGTAATTAGATATCAAATCGGATAGCTTGGGATGTGACATAAAGTTCGAGAAATTTTTTTGAGCCTTGAGCATAGTCAATGACACACTCACCACTGCTCAATTTGAAATCTGACGAAAAAGAGTAATGGTGACCTTATATTAAAAGTAAACGATCTATTTGTATATTTTTTCTGTAATAAATTAGTGTAAAGATCCACAATGAGTCCCGTAGGCTTAAAGGCTGTCATGGATGAGATTAATTCTTCCTAATGGGAAAGGAGGAGCTAGGTTAACATGTCAATAGGGAGAGAAATAAAAAGGCAAATGAATTGGGAAAATCTTCTATATTTGTCTAGTCTTTGTATGCTTATCTCTTACCTTCCTTTCAGGGCTCATCTCCTAATACGCCCTCTAGTATTCTAGCCTGTCGTGTTTTAATGAAATTTTATTAAGTAAAAGTTTATATAAGGTTACAACCTTAAAATATAGAATTAAGGTGCCATATATATATATATATATATATATATATAGGAAAAAGATCATGTCAACCCAAGGGCGTACTGCTCCAGTAAATGCCAACGGTTCAGATTGAATATAGGCCGATCTGATGATCCCGAATGTCCTGTAGTGTTTGAATTTTAATTTTTTTTCTACAAATCGGATTGATCTAAAATTGGAGCGTATATATACAAATAATAGGTGAATCTTTGAAATATATAAAAACAATATTTACATGAAAAAATTGATCAAAATACCCTATAAAGTTTTAGGGCTATTTTGGTCAATTTTATTTTACGGATTATTTCTTTTATATTTTTATTAGGTGCGCCTTGATGAAAATAATATACACCTAAAATTTCAAGTGATTTAGATTTATAAAAAAAAAATTAAAATTCAAACAGAAAAAGAGGTTGTGACCGTCAAATCGGCTAATATTCAATTGGGGCCATTGACGTTTACTGTGGCGGTCAGCTAGTGGGCACACAAAATTCACTCCCATATATATATATATATATATATATATATTTCAAGTCCCATAAATAGTGCATCTTACAACACATTATTTGAACCATCTATTTTCAAGATTTTTACGCTTTTATTGATCTATTTATTTTGTACTATTTGTGGAATATAAAATTTTATAATTAGAGATGAAAATGGATTCTCAAGCCATCCTAAGAATTTTTTACACCAAATTTACATTTCATGATAAAATTTCATGGTGAATCTTACTTTGATTGTTTAAGGTTGCAACCTCAAATAACACCCTTTTGTTAAAGTTTCTTTTTTGGGTGTGGATTGTATAAGATTGAGGCCCTAAACAATCAAAATAAGGCGCACATTTAAATAGTATCGAAAAATATTGTTTTAGTACCAAAAATCTTTATGATGACCTCAATATTTACTTTCATCTCTAATTAAAAAATTTAAAGCTTCAAAAACAGTGTCGATCAGGCAAATCTATGAATACTTGAAAATCTTGAAAATTGATGGCCTAGATAATGTCTTACAAGATGCAATATTTCCAAAACTCAAAGTCTATTTTTTTATAGGTTTATGTATCTCAAGGTCGAGATGATTGGATTTGAGGGTTTTGGGCATTGAAAAAAAAAAATATTCTAGTAAATTTGTGAAGTGAGACTTAGTTTGATGGTTTATAGCCTCAACTTTATATAAAACCTTTTTCTTTTTAATAGAGAAAAACACTACAAGGAGTTTCTTACATGTTCTCTCACGATGCTGGAGAGAGACTGGGGCACTTTCGTCATTGGCAAAAGAGTGGGCCAAGCGAGGACGTGGATGTCATAACTGAAAAATGATTTGGACTGCTTGGGTCTTTTTGTAAACCTTCCACTTGCTCGATTGCACGGGCGGCGTGTTATTCCCAGATTCCATGTAATTACAAATAAAATCACGAGGACATTTCCGGTATTATTGGTACATGTCAAATATGCGCCCTCCGTTTTATGCAACTTCCCTCTCTTTGGCTTGTTTTTGTTGGAGGGACTGCCTCCGTCTGTTTCTCTGCTCTGCTGCCTCCCTCCTGCATAAACCCTAATTTTTCTCCTCCGCTCAAAGAAAATCTGCCGTTTTAAGGTGAGTTTGATACTTCCTCTGCAACTTTTCGTGCTCATAATAATTCTTCCTTTTCCAGATCTCCATTACCTCTTGAGAAATACCTCTCTCTGTTTTTGTTTTTTCTCTGGATAAATGAAATCTTTCTCCAAGATTCTTGATTTTACTCTGTTATCTGATTTGTTTAGTTTTTGTTCTGAGACTTGTATTTTCTTTCCCCCCTGGACGAGCTTCTGAAATTTTTGTTTGTTTTAACGCTGATTGTTGTGAGGGTTTCTTGATAGAGTGAATAATTATTTCTTTGTATCTGCATAATCTTTGATGAGGCTAGCGGAGAGATTAAATTGCTTCTTCCTGTTTGAAATTCTGTGGAGTTTCTCTTTGTTCCAGTCTTAGTTTTCATTTTATTTGCCCTTCTTTGTTTTCCTACTTACGACTATTGTCCTGTGTGTTGTGTTTGCTTTTCTGTCAGATGGTGTGTTTATTTTGTAGAGGGTTTAATTTTTTTGTCTGTTTGTCCTTTCCTCTGCTAGATCATGAAAGACTTGCCATTTTGATGAGCGAAAAGTGTCTTTTTTTGTTTTTTTTGTGATATGTCAACGAAAATGATGGAGCTTTGTAGCTTATTAAAACCTACCAAGGTCAAATATTTACACGCCAATAATTTAATGCTTCAATATTTGTTTCCTTTCTTGCTCAATTTGAAATATGGTTAGTAGATTATCGAGCAAAGCAGTATGCGCCAAAGTAGATTGATGAAGAATTCTGTCATGATGCCTTTGAAGTCGGGTGAATTTTGGATTGTAGGTGTTACCATATTGGTTTTCTTGAAGTCTTTGTCATTATTGCTAATTGATCAGTAGAAGTCTTGATATATCCATGCACGTCTATATCAAATGTCAATTACTTGGATTATTGTGGTTTAAGAGTGTTTTTATCATGGTAAAAAGAATACCATTTTTTTACGGTTAATTTACTTGATTTGTCTTTCAATATTGTAGAAATCCCATTTGTATGAATGACTTTGATCTATTCTTTGGCCTGTGTACTCTCTACTGTTGAATTTTAAGGTTTTCTTTTCCTATGACCCCTAAGTTTTTCTCCATGATCTGTTTATAATTTTTCCCTTCCGTTTCCAGTGTCAACTTTCTTCAATCTGTTGGAAGGCTTGATTTTGAAAAGTTGTATTAGCAAATCCCAAAAGAAGATTAACAAAATAAAAAATAAAAAATAAAAAAAATAAAAAAAAATAGAGGAGCGTTTTCTGCAACCCTATATGGTGGATTCGTTGTTTAAGATCTGCTCTTCGGCAATATTCTTTTTGGGGTTTGGAAATAGAAGTTATAGGTTGTGGTTATCTGTTTCTTTTAAAATAATGTTGAACAAACTGGTTTCTTATTCGTTGATGGCTGAGTTTGCGAAGCCCTTTTGTTGCCCAGAAACGCAATAGCATGATAGCTGTCAACAAGGAGGTTTTGGTAAGTGTTTGCCTCTACCATTTACAATGGAGTGGCGATCGAAAATCCTGCTCCATTTTCCATTGGTACGATATGGATGGAATGAATCCACTTTTCATCCCCATTGAACTTTCCTCAATTAGATGCGACACCCATTTTGTTAGGTTTCCTAATACTGGGTGATGGCAAACTCAGCCTAAAGTTTGGGACACTATGCTATATATACATGCTGTTCTTATGGTTTAGGGCATAACTATCGATTGTCATCAAAGTGTGGTGAAGATGGGTTGTTGTTCTGCTAACAATCCTACAACAGAATAATAGCTCATTCCACTGCCTTGATACAGTGGACATTGGATGACCAATGTGTGTACCCCATATGGCAAATACAGCATGTATAATATGTTTTCCCCTAAAGTTAATTTCTGAATTTTGGCTATTAGTCTTGTACATACCAAACTATAATCTAATGAAGCACTCTTGACTATGAGGTTTTGGAAAATTTTGATCTATTACATGTTATTGGTGACAACTGGTCATATATATTATATATATCATTCATCATCATCATCATCATCATCATTCAAGCCTTATCCCAACTATTTGGGGTGAGGCACATGAATCCTTTTCCGCCATTCTGCTCTATCATGGACCATGTCCTCAGACAAACCATAAGTCACCATATGTCTTCTCACTACTTCCATCCTAGTCTTTTTGGGCCTTCCCCTTGGCCCCCCCCCCTTAAAGTAATATTTGGCACAATAAGTTTCAAAAAGATTTGGACTCCAATACTATAGACATGATAGGTTTCTTGGCATGTTATGGGATTCGAATATTGGCACAATAAGTTTCAAAAAGATTTGGACTCAAGTACTAAATACATGATAGGTCTCTTGGCATATTATGGGACTAAAATCTTCATATTCACCCTCTTAGTTATTTTCTCCCTCTATATTTATTTTGCAGCACATTTGAGGGTTTCCGGATTAAACTTTCTTCTTCTTTCCCCCCTAAAATATCAACATTTGGCACAGTAGTTCCAAAAAGATTTGGACTCAAGTACCAAAGAGATGATAGCTTTCTTGGAATGTTATGTGATTTGAATCTTCGTATTCACCCACTTAAGTATTTTAACAATTCGGTTCACCCTCTCATATAGCACACATGTTGATCAGCCAACTGTTAATGTACTGGCTATATGCATGGTAAGGATTGTTTTTCACGTCTTCGATTTAATTTTTATTCTTAGACATGCTCTATGAAGTTTCTATGAAATTCTTGTGCTCAATCTGTACATAATTTGAATGTTTATTTTGTAGCATAATGTGTTACGTTTCATTTGTTTTTTTGGTTGCATCATCTAAAATTTAGGTAATTTGGTTTCTTTTCTACTTCCTTGATAGTTTCAAGCACACGACAATATTCAGGAAATCAGGAGTATTGAGTGGGATATTTTCACAAACGACTTTTCTTTGCCCGTGGCTGTTTCTCTAGACATTTATTTGATAGAGTCTGATTTTTATGTCATAATAATCTTCACAATCTTTATTTTGGTGAGTGCATGAGGGGTTGCTGGGTACCACACCCGTTGTATTAATGTGTGAAAAATGGAGAACATATAGTACTGTTGCTACATATATTTAATGCATTCAAGCTGAAGCCTAAGGAACTATCACTTGTGAAACTTTTGGAATTTAGCATTTGACATATATTGCTCATGGTTTTGCTTAAAATTGGGCCTGTTTGGATCACACATAAGTCGTGGATAGTGTGGTTTTATGCCTCCGTCTCATCATGCAGCATTTGATGAGTTGGGCTTATCTACAGTGAATCAGTCAAAGATTTATGTTAGACCCTACTTATTGGCTTTGGGTAAAACATTAAAAAATTGTTTTCCCCATCCTGAATGAGGTGAATTGGTGTAGCATATATATGTGCCATCCAAATTGACCCGTAGCATTTTTGAATATTTGACATTAATGTTCTTTTACGGTTCTGAGTTCTGACAATAGCTATCTTCTTTTCTTTTATTCTTGCAATAGTAGTTTGTGCATCAGGGTACACACTTCTACAATTGTGCCCCCCCCCTGATGCATGTAACATTCTTCTTGGAGATGGATGTTCGAAAGTGGTAGCCCCACAAAAATTTAAAATCGACTTTTAAAACTATGGCAAAAACATTTTATTTTTAATATTTTTTTTTTCAGGTTTCATGGTTGAGATTTTAAATTTTGAGTCTAAAATCCGTCTCTAAAATAGATTTTGGAGAGAGGGCTCATTTAAATAGGTGAGTTGGCCTACTCATAGAGACCTTGTCTGTTATTCTTACAGTAGCATGACCTGACTTTTCAGTTTTGGCATCTTGAGAGTGACACCCATCATGTCCACTTGGTTAATCTCATATTGGACCTGAATAATTACTTCTTGATTTATATATGAATTTTTCGTACGGAAATGATGAAACATTGGCTGCTTGTTAGCAGATGATTTCTTGTATGTTTTGTTCCAATGCCATAGATGTAGGTTGAAGTTGAAATGGATCCATTGTTGCTTTCCACATTTTACATATAATGAATTTTTGTTTGCACCTTGAATTTCTCATTCCTTCTGTGGTAGTTTTTTGCATTTTGTTCCTCTTCCTGATTGGAAATTTATTTTAGGGTCAACCCAATACAGGTTACTTCTAAAGTCAATCATTTTACTGCATGCTATATTTTCATATTTGTGGCTCTTGCATTTTCTGATACCATAGTACTTCTCTCTCCTTCAGGACCATTGGCTTCTGGCGCAGTCTTGGCTGATGGTACCGCTTCCTGTTAATTGTTTCCCAACCCTGTTCAACTTCACAGGCACCATCATTGCCTAGCCTTCTTTGTTGAAGGGATTTTCTACCCACTTCCTAGGAGAATGGATCGACGCGATACATCAGGGTTTGTTAGCGGAGGAGGAATTCACCCTGGCAAAATTCACAGCGCTCACTGTACATATGTGTTGTTTTTTAATTTCTTTCATAAATAAATTGCATGCCCTGCCCTTTTCTTTCTCTCAGTCCTGGATTTAAATACGGTTTGATTGGCCACCTTCCACAATAAGAACTTCGACTGTTTTAAGCATAAACGGATTTGTTCCTGTAAATTCACATGGATAGCAGGTTTCACCGCTCGGGCTTCGCCGCAAAGCCCGCTATATTACCTTGTTTGACATTGACCACACTCCCCCAAGATTCAGAGTATGGAACTGACACGGTATTGAGGCTGGATTCACCAAGCTGCAAGTCCCAGAGAGACCCTTTATCTTCCCTGAACACTGGCATGAAGCGAAAATGGGGCTCCATTTACAGTGGCAGTCTCAGACTCTCTGGTTTGGATGATGATGACTCTCTGCGTCTGGGGCTTGGCCGATCCTCAAGCTCCTCAGATAGTAAAGGAAGCTCTGCAACTGCCTGCACCATGTCCTCTGCCAAAGAAACTGATGAGGAGATCTCAATGGACCTGGACCTGAACTTCCAGCTCCACCTTGGCAATGACAAGTCTGCTAGCCCGACAAAGAAACCTGCTATTCCACTTTATAAAAACCTACAGGGAAAAAATGATGACACAGAACCAAGTTATCTTCTGCAACTAAGCCTCTCAACTGGACCTTCGGAATCTGGAATCACAAGCATTGTTCTGAATGCGAACCATGAATTGAAGAAATCCAGAATGACGGACAAGGGATCGTCCGCCAAAGTGGAAGGCCATGTACTGCTGCACGGGCTTGAACGACCAGAGAAGAGTGACGGACTTGGTTATTATAATGGCAACATTGATAATAATAATAATGATGATGTGGTTTGGGGTGGTATTTGCGAGAAACTGGATCCAGCTGTATCAGTGCCGCTGAGCTCGGTTACATGCTCTTCTTCGGGGGTTGGGGTGGTGCGCAATGGGAATGGGAGGAACTGCCAATTCAAGGGTTGCCGAAAGGGGGCGAGAGGGGCATCTGGGCTGTGCATAGCGCATGGAGGGGGGCGGAGGTGTCAAAAGTTAGGTTGCCACAAAGGGGCAGAGGGGCGCACAGCATACTGCAAGGCCCATGGGGGTGGGCGGCGGTGCCAATTCCTCGGCTGCACCAAGAGTGCAGAGGGGCGCACGGACTTGTGCATCGCGCATGGAGGGGGGCGTCGATGCGGGCGAGACGGCTGCACACGGGCAGCTCGTGGCAAGTCTGGGCTGTGCATTAGGCATGGTGGGGGCAAGCGGTGCCAGCACGAGGGATGCACCAAGAGCGCTGAGGGTTTCTCGGGGCTTTGCATCTCTCATGGTGGGGGCCGGCGGTGTCAGTACCCAGCGTGCTCCAAGGGGGCACAAGGGAGCACCCCCTTTTGCAAGGCACATGGAGGGGGGAAGAGGTGCACGGTGCCTGGGTGCACCAAGGGTGCCGAGGGGAGCACCCCATTCTGCAAGGGGCATGGTGGGGGGAAGCGGTGCTCCTTTGGTGGTGGCGGGGTGTGCCCAAAAAGTGTGCACGGGGGAACACGCTTCTGCGTGGCCCATGGCGGGGGGAAGCGTTGCGCTGCCCCTGGGGGGTGCACCAAGAGTGCGCGAGGCCGCACCGACTTCTGTGTGAGGCACGGCGGGGGCAAGCGCTGCAAGTATGATGGCTGTGGGAAGAGCGCGCAGGGCAGCACCGACTTTTGCAAGGCCCATGGTGGTGGCAAGCGATGCTCTTGGGGGACCCATTCCCAAGATCAACAAGGGGGATGTGACAGGTTTGCGAGGGGGAAGACAGGACTTTGCGCTGCGCACAGCGCACTGGTGCAGGACAAGCGGGTACATGGTGGGGGAAGCCTGGGGCTGCCTTCCTCATCCTCCTATGAGAAGCAGCAGCCTATCGTCATTGTCAGGCCAATGACTAGCACTACCACTTCTAGTGCTGATAAGGTGGAATTTGTGGCTGGAAAAAGTATTGGACACTGCTGTGGTTTTCCGGAGGTGCATGCTAGGGGGTTGGGGGGTGCTGGGACTTCTTCACTTCCAGAAGGGAGGGTGCATGGCGGCAGCCTCATGGCTTTGCTGGCATCTGGAAAACCAGTGGCTGGAAGCGAACAGGAGAGGTCGTTACCTCATTGGATGTAAGATGAGATAAAAAAAGAAAACGGAGTGGCCAATCTTTGTGCTCGTTGTTTAGACTGGAGTTTAGTGCCGTAGTTTGAGAGTCGTCGGTTTGGTGGTCAGGTGTAGCTGCGTCTGAGGTTTTTGTTTTTTGGGGAAGTGGAGCCTTCTGGTTTTATTTAGGAGCAGGGGAGAATAAAGAGATTCTCATTCATTGCTTGTATTAATAAAGATTGTCTGTGTGTTATTTTTATTGATCTAATCCCTCGCGAGTTGAGTTTGGAAGAGGGTGGGGCGTAGAGGTTCAGTTGGGGTTTCATGGATTGCTACCTTTTGTAAATATAACATGTGCAGGCTCTTATGTATTCTTGTGAATACATGGTTGTTTTCTTTATGTTGCAGGTTGCATTAGAGATTGTAAATATTTTTGAATTTTGTTCTTTTGATTTTATGGCTTTTGTTTCATGGTCATGGATGAGTTAAAGTTTTTGGTCGGGGAATAGACTATTCACTTTTAATAAGGTTAGAATCATTTTTATCGGTTTCAAATAGGTTGTTGGATGTCATTGACTAGTTCAAAGTTCAAAAATATATTTTTTGAACCGTCACTTCAAACTATCTAATTTATTTGACGTTTAATGATCAGTAGCAATCTTATAACAAATAATAAAAACAAATAATAAAGAGATTGTATACAATAAGATTATTTACCTAAGGTTACAATTACTTAACCATTCGATGTGAAAGCAGGTAGTGTCTCATAATATACAATCCCTTTGGTTGAGCATTTAACGCCACTGAATTAGCTAACGCATGGGGCTTCTAGAAAGGCAAAGTGAGTGAGAGCACGCGCCAGGGGCTTATAGAACAGCCAATCCACTTAGATTGGTGTTTGTATTAAAGAGTCACTAGTTTTCTACACTACCAAAACGAGGTCTTTAGGTAATTTCTTCTGACTTGGTTGTGGGAAAAATCTTAGACAATAGAAAAAGGGACAAAACACTACCAAACAGAGGTCTTTAGAAAAAGGGACTTTAGGCAATTTGTTATGGAAAAGGTTTGTATGCTTCTCTTACAGCATAGAAGTTCTATCTTCTTTTTATCATCCAATCGTTCAATTTTGATCAAGAGAGTAACTCATCGTTTGATCTTAGATCCAACGTCTCAGTATTTTATTTTAAATTTTTTTATACAAATTGAATGAATATGAAATTTGGTACGTGCTATCTTCTTATTGAGGTGCAACTATAAAAAATATTAAAAATAATTTTTCGATAAAATAGAATGACCAAAATACCCCTTGAAACTTTCAGGGGTATTTTGATCATTTTATTTTATTGAAAATATTTTTTTTTATATTTTTCGCTATTGCGAGTTTAATAGAGGAATAGATGTGTCAAAAATAGTTTATAGAAAAAAAATTAAAAATAAAATAGTGTAGAGACGTGACATTGTGATTGAAGCAATCTTAGCCCTCCATTCAGAATGGACGGTTGGATAAAGGGGAGGATAAAACTTCTATACTGTAGAGGAAGCATAGAAAGCTTGCCCATTTGTTCTAGCTTGGTGTGGCAAATATCTTTTAGGCGTAAAAAAATTTTATGTTGCTGCAGTGGGTATGCCTGCAGTAATTATGCAAACTACAAAGGAGGATAAGTCCGAGGGAAGCAGGTGTAATGGCTGGAGTCGGTGTTTGAATACTCGGTTTGGGGTTCGAGTTGGCTGAGCTGATTTGGCGAATTGGCCGGGCTGACTTGCCATTCTATAAAAAGAAAAAAGGGAGGAAAAAGCATAAGAAATGCCAAAAAGTAGAGAAAACTACGGTAGACCAAGCATTCAAAGTCACAAAAGTTGATTTTAAACAACTGGGAAGCATGAATCAAATCAAAATCACAATATTAAAATAAAAAAAATATTTTGGAAAGAAAAAGGTGGAACAAAGGTTGAAAAATAACCAAAAATTGAATTTCTAAGATCTTTCATTTTGATTAAAAAAAGAAGTTAGTACTTCTATATCAATGTGATAAGAATAACTTTTTGAGATAATTCACTGTATAATATTGAAGAAGACAAAATTAAGTACAAATAGGTAAAAAGGTAGCCCACAAAATGCGTGCTTTATACAACTAAGATAATAAATCTATACTGTCCCAATTTTTTTTTGTATAAGCAAAATAGATAGGGCAACCGTTTTTTTTTTTTGAATACTAATGTATGACTTATTATTAATTCATATGTAAAATACAAGATGTTCAAGTAATGTCACTGTATTACAGAAAAGAAGTAACCAACAGAGAGGGAGTATGGACTCCTCCTTTAGCAAGAACATCAACATCGTCATTCGCCTCTCTATAACAATGTTGGACCGTAGGTTGACAAAATATTTCAAATTTGATAAAAAATAGTCCTTAATATTCAAGTTGGCCTTTCTCTTACTCTAGGCAATGACATTTGCTGAGTCTCCTTCGATAATCATGTCCCCTTCCAAAGTACATAGCAATTTCAAACCTTCTAATAAACCTCGTGCTTCCGCCTCATTTGTTGTTGTGATGCCACATGAACCCGAGTAAGAAAAAATAATGTGACCCCAATTATTTCTGATGAGTCCACCATAGTTGGCTGGCCCTGGATTGCCAAGTGAACTTCCATCAAAATTAAGTTTGAAGGAATTTACTGGTGGTGGTCTCCAAACAACCTCACTACGAGTGTTGATGGTAACATCCATAGTCGCCACTGCTGAAGGATTGCTAATGATAAAACTTTTAGGAATGAAGCCACTATCCTTATGTGTAAGGAACCAATTAGCTGCAATTGCCAAAATATTTGATTTTAATGTAGACAGATCTGCATTTATACTATCAAAGACTATTCTATTTCTTTCCTTCCACACATTCCAAAAAAAGCTAACCCAAATAGATCTCCAAAGGATAGTTCCCATCTTTGAAATATCTGGTGTGATCCATTGGTCAAGAAGTGCTCTGACATTTTTGGGCAAAGGTAATGACAGATTGAGGCACTGATGAGCCCAATCCCAAAGATAAGTAACAAAAGGGCATGATAGGAAAACATGTAGGAAGTTTCAGCACTGGCTTTGCACAGGATACATACACTGGTGATAATAAACCCCATCTTTCTCAAGTTGTCAGCAATTGCTAATTTATCTTGATACATGATCCATAAGAATAACTGCACTTTAAGAGGCATATGCAATTTCTTAATCTTGAATAAACCAGCATTTAATTCTCTCCAACGATAAGAAAATAATAGGTTGTAAGTTGACTTAAATGAAAAGCCTCTCGAAGGGGTAAGATCCCAAATAAAGCTATCATCCATATTTGGAGTCAAATATGTGTCATTCAATAATTCCAACAATATCTGATACTACTCAATGAATCTGTCTGTACCTCTTATGTACTTGCAAAGAATGGACCAAACAATATTAGTATAAGTGCCCCCATTATTCTCCTTGAAAGATGCTAGTGGATTTAAAGCTTTTGAGAAAACCTCGGGGAAAAGGTATCTCAACGGTTAATTCCAATCCATTTGTCAAACCAAAAGAAAGTGGATTCTTCATTCTCTACTATTTTCAGAATTGCCGTAGATACACAAATCTCTAATAGTCAATACCTCTCCAAACATGAGAAACTTGTCTTGTTTCTTGGACTTTTAATGAAGAGAACAAGCACCCAAAAAGACTTAGGTTGTGTATGGATCCTCCCCTACCATTTTACTAAAAGCCTCGAGTTCATATGTCTCAGTCTTCTAACACCCAATCCCCCCTCCTTCATTGGTCTACAAACTTTTCCAACTCATCAAATGAAATCTCCTCATTCTTAGGTCATCTCCCCACAAGAAATTTTCATAATTCTCTCAAGTTGTTTTTAAACTTCTTTTGGCATCTTAAGTAAAGACATAAAACATACTAAGAGGTTAGACAAAGTAGATTTAATCAATGTATATCTTCCCCTCATAGAAAGAGTTTTAGCTTTCCAAGTGTTCAATTTCTTTTCAAATCTCTCCACCACCGAATCCCAAATTGATCTTGAAGGCTTCGAATCCACTATGAGAATTCCCAAATAAGTACACGGCAATGAAGCAATACCACAACCTAATAAATGTGTCATTCTTGATACTACAATTTGCAAACAACCAATACCAATGAGCTTGGTTTTACTCAAATTAACTTTAAGTCCAGTTGAGAATTCTACGCTTTTCAAGAAAATCCATAGGCAAGTGATTTCAGTAACCATGGGATCACAGAATATAATGGTATCATCAGCATACTGTAAATGTGATACTACAAGACCATTATTACCAATATTAACACCTGATATGTCCTTTTCCTGTTAATCCATTAAGCATGACACTAAAGCTCTTAGCTACCTAAGTGTATAAAAAGGTGAAAGAGGGTCCCCTTGTCTCAATCCTCTTGATGCTTTGAAAAAAAAAACCAGTTGCTTTTCCATTAACAATAACTGAAAAATGGGTAGAAGACAAGCAACCATCAATCGACAATCTCGAAAACCTATTTTAGCCCTGATACTTTGTAGGACCCCCTAATCAACCTTATCATATGCCTTCTTAAAGTCTAACTTACAAATCTCGAAAACCTATTTTAGCCCTGATACTTTATAGGACCCCCTAATCAACCTTATCATATGCCTTCTTAAAGTCTAACTTACAAATAAGGCCTGATTTGTCATCCTTGATTATTGAATGGATACATTCTTGTGCAACCAAAATACTATTCATAATTTGCTTATCCTTCAACAATGATGATTGTGGTCCTTTATTAACTATGTGAATCACCTGGTATAGTTTATTAACTATAATCTTTGCAATGATTTTATAAAGACTGCCAATAAGACTAATAAGCCGAATATCCTTGATATCCACAATGACATGTTTCTTTGGGATTAAAGCAATAAAAGTAGAATTCATGGCAATATTAATTTTATTCATGGCAATTTTAATTTTACCCCTCCAATAAAATGCTTCTAATAATTGAAGAATATGATCTTTTAAAATATCTCAAAAAAATTGAAAAAACCCCATTGGGTATCCATTTAGGCCAAGAGCCTTATTTCTGCCTAAGCCAAAGACTGCATCTCTGATTTCTTACTCTTCAAATTTTCTCTCCAACCATTGAACATGTTCTAATGGAAACCTATTGAAAGGTAGATCTTGAATGGATAGTTGAATCTCACTATCGGCCTCATAAGACTTCTTGAAATGATCAACCAAGGCCATTTCAATATTTGACATATTGTCACAGTCTACTCCTTCAATACGGAAGCTTTGAGTTGAGTTACCTATTTTTCTTGCATTAGCAATAGCATGGAAGAATCTTGTGTTTTTATCGCCCTCCTTGAGCCATTTCACACGAGATCTTTG